CTGGGTGCTGATAATTACCCGAGCCGGAGGCTAGGGTAATTATCAGCACCCAGACTCTAAGCGGTATTAAACAGAGTGATAAATACCGACCGAGCACATATTTATTCCCATTCATAAATACCTTATCCGTAAAAAAATATCAAATAATTCGTTCAAAAAAACCCGATTTTGTTCAACAAGTTCACTTCATGCTTTTTGAAACATCCCTCTAGCAAAATAATGGAGTGTTCAGCTGGCGAGTAAGATGTAAACAACCCTTTTATGGAGATTGACGCGCGCGTAACATGTTCTGCGCGATGTCACGCAGAACGCACCTGGGGCGTTGCGTTTTGAATTTAGAACTATAAAATTCTGACTCGCTTGTAGTGTTGCGCATGCCTACGTGAGGATTGTGAACGTTCAACCAATGAAACGGTAAGAGGCACTGGATTTTGAGGAGTCCACATTTTATTGTGACACTGGAAAAGTGTTTAAGACCAGCTAGCCATGTCTTTATCATCCGTTTAAGACCGGCCACGTGTCGGGCTCTCGACCAATAGGAATAGCTAAACTGTCTGAGGTATTTATGAATATTATTTTAGGGGCACAGTTAATCGTTTGTCCATTGACGGGGCGTCCTGCGTGTATAGTGATCATGTGACCTATACGCTTGTGACTACAGTCGGGCAGATAACAAAAACAGATCTAGGTAAAATAACAAGCAAGGGCGACCATTTTGAAAATGACCGCCATGCTTGTTATTGTACCAATATTTTGTCACATGACAAATCCGCGATACCTATAGCCATCTTACTTAAGACATACTTTCACTTCGTGCCAATACCATGCTTGTATCATCAAAGGGACAATTCCTGCACCTATCTGCAGTACTACCTCTACTACAAAAAAGTGATTTTAGACTTACCCTATTAACTTGCAGTAAACCGTTTGACCTTTGACACTGGCTGAGACATCCTGCTAGTGCTATGTATCCAGCATGCACTCCTTCCCTTCAATACTTCCGCGTTGAGACGACCTCGGATCCAGTTTTCTAAAATCAAAATGTTCCTCATGTTCAGTTCAAGATTTCACGTTTTCCAGGTCAAACAAGTGCACCACGAACACAGCACGTCTGCGACGCTGTCGCAGGCTATTTCCAGTTAATTAAGATCCCGTCGCCAACAGTCCTCGTAAAAGTTTCTTGAAAAATTGTAAACATTGGGTAGTTCCAAGCATGTGAAGATGAAGAACAATCTACCATGGGTCAAACTTCCTCCATTTTTATCACTCTCGAGCCACGATCATACAGGGAGATATCTCCATCACATGGATTTACATGTCCGTTATATTCAAAGTTCAAAGCAGGAGCAACAACTTCCTTTGGGGAAGCGATCCAACACTCAGTTCCGAATAACATCGGCAGCGCATTACAAAATTGTTGTGCATGAATTTCTTGGTTGCCGAAACTAATGCTGTTTTCCTCCCTCACTATTGAGGGTAGGCTCTCGTATGGGTGGAATTTCAGTGACTGGTCAGACCAGAATATTTGTGAGGTTGTAATTGAATGGATTAACTCAGTCGACCTAATTACCGAAGCAGGGGAATGGAATGTCAATGAATGAATAGTATGTTATTAGTTACTGGTCTGAGAACTTTCAGACACACAATACTTCTTCGCCCGACTCTTTTGTGCTTATTTTGTGGTTGCGTGCCGACTGGAAAACAGCGGTGTGTCGGGGGGGGGGGGGGGGGGGGGGGGGGGTTGGCAACATCCCGAACCCCCCCCCTCATTCAGCCGCTGACCAATGTTATACCGGTACAGTGGTGCCAATGCAGGGTGAGTCAATAAAAAGCGGAACCCGACCCCCCCCCCCCCAAAAAAAAAAATAATATATATTTCATATTTTAAAAAAAATATGTAGCACCAAACATAATAATGACTGAAAAGCCAATTTCAGAAGCTCCTTTTAGATGAAAAAAAAATACTGAAATTGCTCAATCCGTTTAAAGAATGTCACCGTTTAAACGCAATGACCATAAAACCTGTTTCGTCAAAAAAAAACAGTTTAGTGTGTACTCAAACTGTTTTGAACAACAACAAAAAATTACACAGAATACTTGTTTCAACAACTGTCAACAACTGTAATACACAATTTCTTTACCAACAACCCTGGCTAGGCCGACAATATGATTTATAAAATCCACTTTTTTTAGAAGGGCCTTCAAAAGAACTTTGTTGAATATTTTTCACTTAAGAACTGAGGTTTTTATCGCTGGTGATGTTTGAAGACAATTGTGACGATTCTTGAAATCGCATTTTTTTGACGAAAGAGGTTTTAAGGTCATTGTGTTTAAATGGTGATATTCTTTGAACGGATTGAGTAATCTCAGTATTTTTTCATCTAAAACTAGCTTATGAAATTGGCTTTAAAGTCATTATTATGTTTGGTGTTGCTTATATTTTTTAAATATGAAATATATTTTTGGGGGTTTGGGTTCCGCTGATTTTTACTCACCTGTAGTAATACATTACACTATTACATTCCCCAGATTTAGAAATATGCTCCCCCTCTTAAATTGAATAACACCACTACCAGAATACTCAGAGACAGTTCCACGTCTACGTTAGTTGTACCCAAGTGCAAGACTGATAGATACATGAAGTCTACAATTCCTGTCTTAGCTAAACTTTTGTAATTCTTAATTGTTTACAATGTAGGTGTAAGTGAGTACTTCTTATTAGACCATCTTCCCTGAATGATCTGTCTTCAATTTTGAATTTTTAAAAAAGTTTATAAATCAGTTTTTTTTAATATTGTGCTGTTTTGTGCTGTATATACATGATCCTATACTTTGTTGTAATTTTATGCTTCTACTCCTTTTAACTGCTATTTAACCATTTTTAATTCCTGTAAAGTGTAAACGTGGTTATATCAGCGACTCTTTTGTGGCTGCCTACCTCGTGTTTTTATATGAATAACCAGAATAATGAAAAAAAAAGTAATAATTGTAACGCGAAAGGTCAATGTATTCTCAAATTGACTTAGAATGCGGGAGAAAGCATCGTGGATCAATTCAAGATTACGGGAGTGAAAAGGACACCTGCGAGAGCATATGGGCCTAGATGGTTACTGAGTTTGAATTAGCTATCGGTGTGGCAGCATGGTATGATCTTAAAAGCGCTTAGTATGTATCATAAGTTTTATTCAGAGAAAAATGGTCTCGTTGTGCACTTTGATTGTTTCACATTGTTTGCATTTGTTCAATGTATACGTTTACAATTCCCTTGTATGCTCTCTCTTTTAGGAATTGTGGGCGACTGGAAGACGATGTTCACCGTAGCACAGAACGAGGAACTCGACGCCCTCTATCGGGAGAAAATGGCAGGGTCTGGGCTGACGATCCAATCTGAATGAAATATGCAGACTGAGGAAGAACTGATCGGCTCATTGCACTCGCCGCTCTGTCTAATGTGCACATATGTTTTTTTAATAGAATAGCGTTGTTTCGAGCAAATTACTTAACTGCATTTCGATTTCAATGATTAATCATACGTCGGGGCACAAGGGGATGAAAGAAGTGTAGACTGCGTATTTGACCTCGATTTTTGTGGAGGATCATGATCCTCGATCCTCATCAGGGATCATATCGGTGACCCCGACGAGGATCACGGGAAGGGATGTGGTTATGGAGAGGTGACGTCACGGGTCGATAGACCAATCGATAAATAGGCCTGATTGATGATTACAGCTTTCGAAGCTAATACTACAACAAAACCATAATAACATGGTATGCGGAGGATAGCTTAACGTGACAAAACATACGAACGTAAGTGTTGTTGTTTTCGTGACTTGAGCCATCAATGTAGTCCGAAAGGCTTATTTAACCCAATTTGTGGATGAAGGCGAATAACTTTAAATAAAATTGTTCAACAATCCTAAATCGAGGATATTTTCGTGTTTTGTTTTGTTTTGTGTTGTTTGTTCATAGTTTATAAACCAGACTCCAGATTCTCTAGCTGTGCACGCCTTCTCTCGACTCCCCCCCCCCCCCCCCCCCCCCCCCCGCTTCCTAAAAAGCTAGGTCCGTCCCTGGGCATGAACACTCTAGGGATGGGCATGCACTGTGTACACAGTACGGAATCTAAGAAAGTTACTTTTATGGGCTAAAAAAATACAATACATTCTAATTTCTAAGATTGTAGTAGCAATCAATATATCCAAAATATCAATGATAAACTTTTCACTGTTTTTTTTATAATAATAAATTAATAATCAAAATGGCGTCATATAGCCGCCCTCTTTAGCAAGAAAATGTTACAGAGTTCGAAACTTAGATGTTGTTGGGCGATAGTTGCCACTAAAATGTAGCAGTAGTATTTATCCCCACAACAAGGAAACAAAGTCTATATTCCTGCCCTACTCCAGCAAACATCGTCTAATTTTAGTGAGAATTTTCGATGGTGGGTCAGGTTTGCTTGCACGAGAAGGTACAGCATGGAATTATCAGTTTGCCGAAAGAAGGCCGATATTGCGTCTCAAAGTCCAGCCACTGTACGAACACACGGGCTCACGAAAACCTGGTAAGCTTAAAGCTAGGGTAGATCATTTGTCACTCATTTTGTGCATTTATTTTTCGTTTGAAGCAACAAAAGTGCTTACAATCTAAAGACGGGTGCTTAACAATTAACCTGATGAAGTTTTAGCTCTGTGTATGCTGTAGATTCTGAGAAAACAATATTCTAAGATCTCAGCTGCAAGTCAAAAGTTGCAGTGTCATGTTTTGAATCGCGCCCGAAATCAGCGTAAGGCCGAATGTCAATACCCTCTTCGACAGTGGGTATTGAATTAAACGTCCACCCTCATTGGTACCTACGTGTGACTAGACTTCATCTCAGGTCGCGAATGAGGTCACGGTGAATGGGCAGACGTGTGCGCGGACAAAATCTACCCAACAACCGACTTGATATTGTCTATTGTGGACCTGCCCTTGACACGTATACGCAGCGCTGTTGTTTATGCTACATTATGCGCAACCTGTGCCACAGTCATAATAACGCAGGAGAAGCGAGGTGTAAACGGTACTTTGTCTGATCCAAATTCTAAACGGCAGATATACATCAAAGACTTTCAGAATGGCAAACCAGAACGGACAGGGAAAACCTCCTGGCCTCGTGAAGCTGTACGGGGTGACTTGGCCGGGGATGGTAACGAAAGAGGCCTTGGATGCGCTGAAAGCCTACGATGTATGGGAGGATGATGTGTGGGTGGTGACGTATCCCAAATCAGGTAGGCCTATGAGTGACAATACCGTATCATCGTTCTCTCATCAGGTTCTGTTACCGGCCCAAACTCGCCTGGCAAGCTGTACGTGGACCGGGCCTTTTCCAGCTGTACACCGCGTCTCTGGAACTCCTTGCCAGACGACTTAAGGGACACAACTGATCTGTCATCATTCAACAGCCATCTTAAGACTCTTCTTTTCAATCTTTCATTTGATCCACAGTGATTTGCTATTGACCGGTGCCTTTGAATGGTCCTCCAGATACTGAGTGCCTAATATTCATTCTCTGTCATTACTATACTTATAATTAGAAGGAAAAAACCTTTAAAATGTTGAGGTTTATAATCGTGAAAATGAAAGATGCCAACAATGCTTTCTTAAAAATATTTTTAGTCCATGATTTTGTGTTATTATTTCTTTAAAATATGTAGTAGACATATCAAAGATTATACAAATATAAATAAATCTGAAAATCGAAAAACAATCTCCCCATTCATTTTTTTTTTCACTATGGTCCGTGTCTAGCTTCGTGTCATTCTGCCAGAACGCCTCACTTTTTCGTTTTTATTGTGGACATTAATTCAAAAAGATCTGGAGCCCAAACTGAAAAGAAGCCGAGATTTTGAAACTCCTTGTAATAATTGCATCATTTTTTTTCAGGAAAAAAATCAAAAGGGAAGCCTTATTGTTGCATCACTCTCCTCTCGGTGCAATGCAGCCACTATCGCGATTTAACGATACCAAAAGTATTTGTTCAGCATGACTAGGCAATTTGAGTGCTAAAAATAACTTTCATGAATGATTGGCCAAAGGTGGTTTCTGTATGACTTGCAAAAAACCTTTCATTGTATTCAACAACCACAAGGTTGTGGCAAGGTTACAGATGATTGCTTGAATATCGTGAAAAGCTGATCAGATCTTCAATTCTTTCTTTTCTTTGCTACACTGCCGAGTGCCGACGACGCAGAACGTAAAATTGGAAAAGCAAATTGTATGCAATCAGCAAAATCATGGAGGGCCTGGGACTACATTAAATTAACACTTCGCGGGCCAATTTTTGTTGGCAGTATGATATCAGACGCCTGCTGGGAATCAATCCATGACACAATGTAATTTGAGCTACCCGGCCCTCAAAGTCCACCATTCACCCCAGATTAACCCCTGGTATCCCTCAGGCCCTAAACAGTCAATAAAACAAGACACTAACCTCCTCAAGCGAGAGTTTGGTGATGTTCAAACAAACTTGTAAAACTTTGAAGTGTACTTCAGTTTTATTGTGATGTCTGTATACTTTTTGACTGCATCATGTGTAAGCCCTTTTTAAAACCTAATTAACATACGACTTTACTTTAAATAAGTGAAAAATTAACATTCGTTGTGAGGCGCATGCGCAGTTGAAAACCAAACCAACTTAGTTAATACTGACAGCGATTTATAAAGTTGAGATGGAAATGCAAAAGTAGTCATTGTAACTTTGTAACGATGATATTTCCAGCGATTCCCAATACAGAAAATTGCTGCCGTTGGTGGCGCAAATCAGGCTTTTCTCGCAGTGCATCATGGGGAAAAAGTCGATTTTATTCATAGACCGCTTGCACTAGCTGGTGTCCTGTCACGGAGGTCGGTTTTTTGTTTGGTTATTTAAATTCATTGACAATTAAACTAAGTATCTATACTCATCACAAAAGAACAAAGACCCACCGTCATAATGTGACGTCATATTCAGATCTTTTCATTCGCAGTAGGGGTCAGGTCTTAGTGATCTAATTAGTGACCTTGTAATTTTTGATTTAGGTACGCACTGGGCGGTGGAGATAGTGAATCTCATCCTCGTGGACGGTCACGAAGATAAAATCAACCGGGCCCAGCAGTCCCACCCAGTGGAGTTCCACATAAAACGACCGAACGCACCCCCACCACAATATGAGGCGATGAAGGACTGGAAGGCTCCGCGGGTCGTCATGACGCACTTGACGGAGGAGCTCATGCCGAGCCAGATATACCAAGGAAAGGGCAAGGTAACAACACCGACAAACAAATTGTTGATAATCTAAAGACATTTTCAAATCAATGGATCGGTCAAATTAGGCCCCGCCCACTGCGCGCGTGGGTAGTACAAGTGCGCGCCTCTCCAATGCAACACACACATAGTTATTCTTCTGATATCTATGACAACACACCGCGCGTTCAAGACGCTCGCATCATGTTATGCACGCACATAGGACATAAATCACGACTGTGATCCGTCAAAATCAGTCAATTCCTTGTCATTATTAACCCTTCAAGCCTATGCAATTTGTAGTGTGGTTTGAACATTTTTTACACACGTCGTCACGCCCCCACACGGAACCTAAAAAACAAATCTCTATTACATAGCTTTTGGCCTGTCTTCCAGGCTCAGAAACATTGTTGATAAAAGCATACGTGCTTCGGCAGTGGCGTAGCTAGAATTTTTTTCACTGGGGGCCCAGGGGGCACCAGTATGTTATGAGGGGGCACCAAGGGCGGACCCAACTACAACATTTCCCCCAAATTTCCAGGCCATAGTACTGCAAATTTGCAAAGGAAGGGGGGGGGGGCAGGCGGGGGAGGGGCTGGACCTATATGACGCTAGAGGGCAATCTTTTTGCTTACCAATTCACCCACAAAGTCGTACGGTTGAGGAAGTCAAAATAATCATCTCAAAAAAGTATTTTCAAAAGACACTTCCTCGGCAAGCGGCAAATTTCAGATTTTTGGTGGGGGAGGCTGCACCTGGGGGCACCGTACCTGGGGGCACTGGGAATTTGTGGGGGGCACGTGCCCCCCACCCACCCAGCCCCCCCCCCCCCTCTCTCTCTCCCCTCACCCACCGTGCTTCAGTAGATTGTGGATAATAATAATTATTATTGTATTGTCTCCGTAATTGAAGGTTGTGTATGTCATCAGAAATCCCAAGGATACCACTGTGTCAAATTGGAACTTTGTCGGCAAGATGAAGTTTGACCCCAAATTTGAGAAATGGGACGACTTCGTCAGAGAGTCCTTTTCTGAAGACAGTAAGTTTTTGAGCTTAGATTTGAAAAGACAAAACCATTCAAAACGGAGGAACTTTTAAACCAACTATTATTCATTGAGTTTGGACATCAATGTCAGTTTATCTCAATTATATTAAATATTACAGGGGACGCAAAAGTAATGCACTTTTTACCGGTTGAAAATAACGACGAAGAAAACCGACACAATTTTACGATTCAGGCTTCAATTTCATCAGAACAACAGGGGGGGGGGGTGTAGAATTTTAGCAAAGAGAATTACACATTCCGTTTAAAAATGCGTTTACAAAATAAACCTGGCTAAGGATTGCCAACAAAAAATACCGAAGTAGGCCTGTATCAATATTTGCTAGCCCTTAATAACATGAACAAAATACATTGTACTGCTGTAAAAGTGTAGGGAAAACTTCAAGCACAAGTGAGGTAATTTTTCTCACACTTCTTTTTCTGTCCATTTCAAGTGATGTATGGAACATGGTTCGCTTACGTGTTGAACTTCTGGAAGAAGCATCGTCACGACAAAAACTTCCTGTTCCTGAAATATGAGGACATGAAAACAGTAAGTCGTGATTCCAGTTTCATTATTTCCTTTTCTTTCTTAATCTTCACAATACACCGATCCGTTAGCCACGCCCACTGAGCACGTGGCCAAACAAAACGTGTGCTTCCCTAATGCCACATCGCATGTTCCAGCTGCGCGCGTCATGCGCGCGTGCACGCATGACGGGCTTTCGGGCACGCAGGTTGGACCTCAATCACGGCTGTGATTGGTCAAATTACCATATTGGGCGGGGCTTATTAATGGATCGGCCTATTGTGATTGTATACTTGACAATCTGAACCTCTGTACCTCCAAAACGTCGACTTTCCCCTGTTTTTTTTTCAGAACCACATAAACTCACAAATCAGATTTGTTGTCACATTGTGCATGTAACCGCAAACTCAATCTTATTACTAAGGAATTGTGAAAAACATTGTACATATAAATGTGAAGGAAAAAATATACAATTTTCCCAATATTTGTCTTTCAAAACTATGTTTTCCACTCATTTATTTTACCCCACGCGGAAAAAAGGAACAAAAGGTTATCTTTGGTAGATTTTCATTTAACATGGAAGGTAGCTTGCAAAAAAGAATATCGACTTTGCCGCAGCCAAAAAGTACGGACATGTGAACTTTTAAATACGTGTAATTATTTTTGTATTTTTTGTATTTATTTATAACTTTTTAAAGGACCCCAAGGGAGCGGTCATACAGATTTCAGATTTCCTTGGAAAAAATCTCTCCGAGGAGGCAATTGAACGGGTGGTTGAGTTTAGCAGCTTGAATAGCATGAAGGCCCGCTTCAGTCAAGCTAAGCCAGCAAAAGAGGCGCCACCACAATCGCCACCAGCCGACAAAGCGAGTGCGCCCTCTAGCGACGAGGCGAAGGCAGGTCCAAGTAAGACGAAGTTTGGGGCGCCCTCTATAATCCGGAAAGGTGAGTTTCCTTCCGGTGTTTTGTAGAGGGAGAGCGGCCAGGAAACTTGGGCAATAATGCACATGTACAGCTTAACAGTGGCAAGTTTTAACCACAGAAATTAAGGACGTCCGTATTGATACAAGTGGTGTTGTCGCGTTTTTGGTATGGATTGGGGTTCGAGTCCCGACATGTGGGGTTGCAGTTCATGTGTCCTTGGGCAAGGCACTTTATAACGAATTGTTTCTCAACACCAAGGAGTGAAATGGGTACCTGTGAGAGCAGAGGTGGTTACTGCGTTTGAATAAGCCATGTACCGGTGTGGCAGCATGGTATGATCTCAAAAGAGCTTTATATTATAAGTATCATCCAGAGAAAAATGGTCTCGTTGTGCACTTTGATTGTTTCACATTGTTCGCATTTGTTCAATGTATACGTTTGCTATTCCCTTGTATGCTCTCCTTTTAGGAATTGTGGGCGACTGGAAGACGGTGTTCACCGTAGCACAGAACGAGGAACTCGACGCCCTCTATCGAGAGAAAATGGCAGGGTCTGGGCTGACGATTCAATTTGAATGAAATATGCAGACTGAGGAAGAACCCATTGGCTCACTGCCTCGCCGCTCTGTCTAATTTGTTTGTTTTTTCCTTCTTCATAGAAAAGCGTTGTTTTGGGCAAGTTACTTAATTTTTCGAGCATGTTACTTAATTGATTTCAGTTGAATTTTTATTTGAATGATTAATCATAAGCCAGGTCACAAAGGGATGAAAAAAGGAAAACAACTTTCTAACTTTGTGAGTTTAGACCAGATGTTCTGTGTTTGACACTTGATAGAGTTGTGAATATTTACTTAAGACTACTAGTAATGACTAATGGTGACTAGGCTCTGGCGCATGCGCTTATGGATTCTGTCTGAAATAAATAAATAAATAGATCCCAACTCTTGTCCTTATCAGCGTCATCGTAAGCTTGTTTTAACATAGTTAGCTAGAGCTTTGCCAATTTGTACGGCTAAAAAAAAGGATCAGCGTTTTCTTGAAGGCATGATTTTAATTTGCAAATTGTAAAGGTAATTCGGTGCAATGAAGTTTTACTTTCCACGAAAGGCGTTTGGTTTAAAGACGACAATTTATAGAGTGTTGCCGCTGGTTTTACATTCAGAAGATTTATTTTTTCATTACGTAAGTTGGCGTTTTGAGAAACAGTGGTTAGAAATGTCAAACACCAAGAATTGCATTGTGGCCACTGTTATGATGTTGACGTATACATGACGAATAAGTATGTGATCAGTCTTTGATTGTAAAGTAATCATTTAAATTAGTATTTTATTTGTATCATTTATTTTACTTTTTTTTTCCATTTGTCACTCTCTGCCAAAGTAAGGCATTTTTATAAAATGTCATATTTGACCGTATTTTTTAATAAAAATAAAATAATCAATGATGTAAAATATTATATGAGAGAGAGGTTCATTGTCACTTATCAATTCCGTATATCATTACAATTATGAAATGTGAAGCGCTTCAACCACTCGCCTCGGCCATGGACCAGCCTGTTGAAGTCACGGAGAAGTTCAAATATCTCGGCTGCGACATCAGCTCCTCGGGCTGCTCATCGCCCGACATCCTCCGACGAATAGGCTTCACTTCATCAACCTTTGGCCAACTGGACCGGGTGTGGTGGAACAAACGCCTTAACTTTCAACCAAGCTGAGGATATATACGACTTGTGTCCTCCCAGTACTACTATATGGGTCGGAGACGTGGAAGCTCCTAACCGAGGACAGGGGTAGGCTTCAAGCCTTCAATATGAGGTACCAGCGGCGCAGCCTCGGTGTCCGGTGGTCCGACTTTGTCACCAACACCACTGTCTCGAGGATATCCGTGCAACCATCTTCATTCCATTTTCGGAGGCTTCATTCTCTTTTCGGCCACGTCCGACGGTTACCAGATGGCACGCCATCCCATGCCGCCCTTATTAAGTCGACGGACAAGGGAGACTCCACCCTGACACTGCCTGGGGGAGACCCAGGGGCCGCCCCCGCGAAACAGGGGTGCGCCAGCTAGAAGTTGACCACAAGACACGAGCACAACAGCTGTGGCAGTCTGCATCCGATCGCTTGGACTGGGAGGCTCAACGTCCCCCATGATGGATTAGGAGAATGATGATGATGATGAAAATGATGAAGTGCTCCGACCCGTACAGCTGAAAATATGGCGATGTAACATAAAAAAAAAATATCCCCCTGCAGCCATTATGGTCAGTGTTTTCCATATTCCCTCTTAAAAAATATCCTCCTAGCCATGATGGTTTAGTGTTCTCCATATCTCTACAAAATATCCTCCTTCATCGATGGTTAACGTCCTCCATATTTCCTCTAAGAAATTTCATCCTACAACGATGATTAGTGTTTCTCTATAATTGATTCGCTTTAAAAAAAAATCCTCCATACTCCTCCCCCCCCAAAAAAAAAACCCAATACAAATCATAACACTCCTATACAGCAATGGCTAATATTCCCTTTCAAAAAAATCCGCCTACAACGATAGTTATTGTTCTCCATATTCCACCCATAAAACTTCCCCGAGCGAATATGGTTAGTATACCTCGAGATGCAAGTACATCAGAGAGCTGTCTTTCCTCACGTTCATGACACCGCACGATGTCTCCTCGGCCAGGCCACCTTGTCTCCGATAGCAAGACTCTGTCGTTAACGCAGAAAGCTATTGTCCTCATCCTGAAAGCTAGTTGAATGAAAAATTGTAATATTAAAAAAAAACTTTAAAAAAAGCCTAAAAATGTACTCAAAGATGCAGATCTGTTAATAGGCTCAGATTTGTACGCGAGCCAAATCACAATTTGTATGCCCTCAAATTCTAAGAAAAGTTGCCGATTGTCAGCTTGTTGGCATATTCATCCGCTATTTAACAAGCTATAGTTTGTCAAAATCCATCCATGTTAAGGTACCTTAAGACCGCGACACATGAGAGCCATGTCGGCTGGCGCTGACAGCCCTTGCTATGGGACTTACTGCACAAAAACGAAACTGGGGGCATCATGTACCTACGTCTGAGGCTTACTCCAAAAGTTTCATATCTGCAGCCTTGCCGATTGTCAGTTTGTTGGCCTATTTATCCGCTATCAAACAAGCTATAGTTTGTCAAAATCCATCCATGTTAAGGTACCTTTAGACCGCGACACATGAGAGCCATGTCGGCTGGCGCTGACAGCCCTTGCTATGGGACTTACTAAACAAAAACGAAACTGGGGGCATCATGTACCTACGTCTGGGGTCACTCCAAAAGTTTCAAGTCTGAAGCCTTGCCGATTTGTCAGCTTGTTGGCCTATTCATTCGCTATCCAACAAGCTATAGCTTGTCAAATCCATCCATGTTAAGGTACATTTAGACCGCGACACATGAGAGCCATGTCGGCTGGCGCTGACAGCCCTTGCTATGGGACTTACTGCACAAAAACGAAACTGGGGGCATCATGTACCTACGTCTGGGGCTCACTCCAAAAGTTTCAAGTCTGAAGCCTTAATATTTTGAGGGCCGTGCACTCGAGGATATGTAAACAAGAAGAGTGGAAGACGTGCAGAGGACTGCAAACCCGTATTTCTATGAAATTTTGATGAAATTTGGCCCATAAATGGCTCCATTTTGCAATGGAGCGTAGGCGCCCATTTTCAAAATGGCGATGGGCTTTAGGACTGCTTTTAGGGGTGATCATCTTTGGATGGAATTTTTTACCAAAAGTCATTAGTTAACCCCCACAAAATGAACACAAAATAAAAGATGATGAAATAAGCTTTAATTTGATGGGTGTCTCAAACACCTTGGAGAGTTATGAGTATTCTAAATAATTTTTGGAAGTATACGCGTAATTACCATTGCGGTCTATGGGAGTCGATTTGCAGGTCTGCACCCTTAACTTACCCGTTATCTATAACCAGTTTTGCATTTTACAAACACCCTTTGTTGGGGCAATAGCTAGGTGCCATTGAAAGTGGCGCTATTATTTATATCCAGTATAATAAGGGAACAAAGTCTATACTCGGGCCCTATCTATAACAACCAGCAAATATCGCTTAACCTAATAATCTCAGTGTGTAAATCAGTTTGATAAACAAATTTTCTAAGGCGATCGAGTTTACGCAAGAATACAGTATTATCGGTTTGCCGAAAGTACTTGGCGTTTCAAAGTCCAGTCGCTAACGGAACAGGATGGACGGGCTCACGAAAACTCGGTAAGCTGAAGCCTATACAATGTATAAGAAGTCAGATTCGCTGATTTTCATGTCAAGCATAGATTGTTTGCTTTCGAGCCATATCGGAGGTGTGTGCATTTGTCCGTCAATAAGTAGAGCCATGGGGTTTCCATTGCTCATTAATTAACATAATAAAACACATATCGAAGATGGTTGATGAATGCAATCAATCTATTACTGATAAAAAGAGCGAGTGAAATTTACCGTGTTAAAATCTTGGTTATGGGGGTGACGCTTTGGAACTTCTTCGTTAATTTTACGGATATTGTTTTGTACCAGTGTTATTAACGCTTCATACATGCCCTTGCAGCACCAGTTGGTTTCACTCCGCATTTCGATTGAATGATACACGGTTAGTAATGCATACACACAATTTAAACCCTGTACATGTTATTCGTTTTCTACAGTCTAACTTTTCTAGGGGGTGGAATTTTTTTATTGATTTCTGAGCAGGTTTTTGGTACGGAAAAAGGGAGGGCGCTCAAGAGAAACTCAAAATAAAATTTCGTTGGCCAAAAAAAATTTCGCGGATGGGCAGACACTTTTAACCGATTGGTGTGGCATGCAAATTGCCACGTACGAAATGTCAATAATACCCTATGTCAATACCCTCTCCGATAATGGGTATTATACTTTGACCACACTGGGCACCTATAGACTGTACCTCAAGTCGCAAATGAGACCGTGGTGATGGGCAAACTTGTGCGGCGGTGACAAACTAACAAAATCTACCCAACCGTAACGACTTGAAATCAGGTCTATTGTGTGACCTGCTCTCGAGCCGTATATACGCAATGGTGTTATTTACATTGCAAACGGGGGTACATGTATTAGGTTCAATCGATCTATCATACAAACGCAGGAAAATTGAAGAGTGGACGGTACTTTTTTTCCTTATCCACATTCTAAAAGGCAGATAAATTGAAGACTTTCAGAATGGCGAACCAGAGTGGAGAAGCAAAACCGCCAATTGGCATCGTGGAGCTGCATGGCGTGACTTGGCCGCGGTTTGTTACGAAGGATTCTCTGGACACGCTAAAAGCCTACGATGTATGGGAGGATGATGTGTGGGTGGTGACGTATCCAAAAGCAGGTAAGCGTATTAGGAAACTGTATTATCAATTGCTAGAAGAAAAGAAGAAGAAAAGAAGAAAAACTAGAGGTGCGGTATTTCTGTTAGAAACCGAAGACCTGGATTGTTTCGTTGAGCTGGTTCCAAAGTCCCCATGACATCGTTTGTATTCCAGCAAAACTAAAACTAAATTTGAAAGCAATAATGATGAGATCATAACAAATAACTGGTGAGTCATGTTAAGACAGTGTTATGTATTAGAGCTTGGAGGCTCTTAATGTTGATGTGTGCTTCTCAAACATCGACTTCGTTCAGACTTCGGCTTTGAGATTCCAACACTCTAGCTGTTCCTTGCTCTATTGTTTCAGCATGGAGTGTTTTATAGATCCATGGTTTCAGGTACATTACGCTTTATCCTATAATAAGTTAGAGTATTTTCATTTTGTTGTGGACATGGAAGATCTGAAGCCAGAGTTGAGGCCGAAGCTGGTGAAGAAACTGAGATTTGGAAACACCCGTTTAATAATTGCAACATTTGTTTGTTCTTTGTAAAACAAAATGAAAAGGTATGTCTTATTATTGCAATCTCCCCGCAACGCCCTGCAGGTGCACCTGATCCAAACACTCACCGTCGTTAATAAACGAGTCTTTTTTCACGTCACAAAATCATATTATGGTAGCACGGTGCTCTAATTGCCACTCCATAATAAGCGAGGATGTAGTGGCAATATTAGTCGCTTGTGCCCACCAGATAGTCACATGTACCTGTATATACTGTTCGTGCTTGTTACGTAATACATTCGGGGTGTATACCTGCACATGCGTAATGTGGCATCAGTGTTGACATAAAAACCATGCTTATTAACGACAGTGGCAGAGTGCACGATGCAACGACTTTATGTCCGTACCGCATATGGCATGACTAGGCATTTTGAGAGCTAACGTTAACTTTCTTTGTTGGTTGGCGAAAGGTTTTGTTGGATGACGAACAAAAAACTTTCATCGTATTCAACAACCACAATGTTGATGCAAGGTTTCATTTGTTCCCTGAATACGTGAAAGGCTAGCTGATCTTTGAAATATTTACTTTCCCAAAAGTTGATCTGCTCATGGACGGATCTATTCCTGCCTACATGCTCTGCTGACAACGACGGAATACGCGGGGGGAAAAAACGAATTATTCATTAAAAAATTATGGAGGACAACATTGAATGAAGACAAATGTTTGTAATAACGAAATAAAAAAAAAAGACAATATAAACACTCTGAACTGTACCTCTGTTTTACACATTGCGATGCCCATTTACTTTATAGCTGCAGAATGTGTGGGCCTTTATTCAAGTGCAGTGTTAATTAACATTAATTATCATGCTGTGTGGCGCATGCGCAGTTGAAGACCAAACTTGCTCACGGACAAAATAAAACAGTTGCAAGATTGCAATGGTAATGAAGGATGGCATTTCGAGATATTCCCAATGTAGAAAATTTTTGCCGTTTTGGGCGCAAAATCATACCGTTCGTGCTGCTTCATGGGGAAAAGAATCGGTTTTTTTTTATATAAACTACTTACTCTATACTCAATGGCAATTTACGCACAGAAACAAACTCGGCCAAAATATTCTTGCTTATGTCCGGTTTCTCCACGACTATTGGGTCTACGGACTTCAAACTTATTGGACGTTGTAGCCAGACTAACTAGCTCTCCATACATGTCCAAAAAATCAGGAATTTTTTATAACAAGATACCTTCAAGACGAGATATAGCAAGTAAACACAAAACGGAGTGAAGCCCGCTGACAGCCTACTCTATGGCAATTTACACACAGAAACAAACTCTGGCAAAATGTTCTTGCTTATGTCACATTTTCTCCACGAGTATTGGGTCTACGGACTTCAAACTTGTTGGACATTGTAGCCACACTAACTAGCTCTGCATACATGTCAAAAAAATTAGGAATTTTTTATAACAAGATACCTTCAAGACGAGATATAGCAAGTAAACACAAAACGGAGTGAAGCCCTCTGACAGCCTACTCTATGGCAATTTACACAGAGAAACAAACTCGGGCAAAATATTCTTGCTTATGTCACATTTTCTCAAAGAGTATTGGGTCTACGGACTTCAAACTTATTGGATGTTGTAGCCTGACTAACTAGCTCTCCATACATATCAAAAAAAATCAAAAATTTTTCATATCAAGGTACCGTCAAGACGAGATATATCAGGTAAACACACCACAGAGTGAAGCCCGCTGACAGACTACTCTATATGGCAATTTCCGCACAGAAACAAACTTGGGCAAAATATTCTTGCTTATGTCCCATTTTCTCCACAAGTGTTGGGTCTACGGACTTTAAACTTATTGGACGTTGTAGCCACACTAACTAGCTCTCCATACATGTCAAAAAAATCAAGAATTTTTCATACCAAGATACAGTCAAGACGTGATATATCAAGTAAACACAACACGGAGTGAATCCAGCTGACAGCCTACTCTATGGCAATTTACACACAGAAACAAACTCGGCCAAAATATTCTTGCTTATGTCCCATTTTCTCCACGAGTATTAGGTCTACAGACTTCAAACTTGTTGGACATTGTAGCCTAACTAACTAGCTCTCCATACATGTCAAAAAAATTAGGAATTTTTCATAACAAGATACCCTCAAGACGAGATATAGCAAGTAAACACACCACGGAGTCAAGCCCGCTGACACCCTACTCTATGACAATTTACGCACAGCAACAAACTCGGGCAAAATTTTCTTCCTTATGTCACATTTTCTCCACGAGTATTGGGTCTACAGACTTCAAACTTATTGGACGTTGTAGCCAAACTATCTAGCTCTCTCTGAATATGTCAAAAAAATTAGCAATTTGTTATAACAAGATACAGTCAAGACGAGATATAGCAAGTAAACACACCACGGAGTAAAGCCCGCTGACAGCCTACTTTATGGCAATTTACGCACAGAAACAAACTCGGGCAAAATGTTCTTGCTTATGTCACATTTTCTCCACGAGAGTTGGATCTACAGACTTTAAACTTATTGGACGTTGTAGCCAGACTAACTAGCTCTCCATACATGTCAAAAATGAAGAATTTTTCATATCAAGATACCGTCAAGACGAGATATATCAAATAAACACACCACGGAGTGAATCCCGCTGACAGCCTACTGTACGGCAATTTACACACAGAAACAAACTCGGCCAAAATATTCTTGCTTATGTCACATTTTCTCCACGAGTGTTGGATCTACGGACTTGAAACTTGTTGGACGTTGTAGCCAGACTAACTAGCACTCCATCCATGTCAAAAAAATCAAGAATTTTTTATATCAAGATACCGTCAAGACGAGATATATCAAGTAAACACACCACGGAGTGAATCCCGCTGACAGCCTTCTGTACGGCAATTTACACACAGAAACAAACTCGGCCAAAATATTCTTGCTTACTTCAAACTTGTTGGACATTGTAGCCTGACTAACTAGCTCTCCATACATGTCAAAAAAATTAGGAATTTTTCATAACAAGATACCCTCAAGACGAGATATAGCAAGTAAACACACCACGGAGTGAAGCCCGCTGACAGCCTACTCTATGGCAATTTACGCACAGAAACAAACTTAGGCAAATTTTTTTTGCTTATGTCACATTTTCTCCACGAGTATTGGCTCTACGGACTTCAAACTTGTTGGACGTAGTAGCCAGACTAACTAGCTCTATATACATGTCAAAAAACATAGGAATTTTTATAACAAGATACCGTCAAGACGAGATATAGCAAGTAAACACACCACGGAGTAAAGCCCGCTGACAGCCTACTCTATGGCAATTTACACACAGAAACAAACTTGGGCAAAATATTCTTGCTTATGTCCCATTTTCTCCACGAGTATTGGGTCTACAGACTTATAACTTGTTGGATGTTGTAGCCTGACTAACTAGCTGTCCATATATGTCAAAACAATTACGATTTTTTTATAACAAGATACCCTCAAGACGAGATAAAGCAGGTAAACACACAACAGAGTGAAGCCCGCTGACAGACTACTCTATGGCAATTTACGCACAGAAACAAACTCGGGCAAAATTGTCTTGCTTATGTCACATTTTCTCCACGAGAGTTGGGTCTACGGACTTTAAACTTGTTGGACGTTGTAGCCAGACTAACTAGCTCTCCATACATGTCAAAAAATTCAAGAATTGTTCATGTCAAGATACCGTCAAGACGAGATATATCAAGTAAACACACCACGGAGTGAATCCCGCTGACAGCTTACTGTACGGCAATTTACACACAGAAACAAACTTGGGCAAAATATTCTTGCTTATATCTCTTTTCCTCCACGAGTATTGGGTCTACAGACTTCAAACTTGTTGGACGTTGTAGCCTGACTAATTAGCTCTCCATACATGTCAACAAATTAGGAATTGTTCATAACAAGATACCGTCAAGACGAGATATAGCAAGTAAACACACCACAGAGTGACGACCGCTGACAGCCTACTCTATGGCAATTTACACACACAAACAAACTTGGGCAAAATTTTCTTGCTTATGTCACATTTTCTCCACGAGTATTGGCTCTACGGACTTCAAACTTGTTGGACGTAGTAGCCAGACTAACTAGCTCTATATACATGTCAAAAAAATAGGAATTTTTCATAACAAGATACCCTCAAGACGAGATATAGCAAGTTAACACACCACAGAGTGAAGCCCGCTGACAGACTACTCTATGGCAATTTCCGCACAGAAACAAACTCGGCCAAAATATTCTTGCTTATGTCCCATTTTCTCCACGAGTATTAGGTCTACAGACTTCAAACTTGTTGGACATTGTAGCCTGACTAACTAGCTCTCCATACATGTCAAAAAAAATCAAGAATTGTTTATATAAAGATACCGTCAAGACGAGATATATCAAGTAAACACACCACGGAGTGAATCCCGCTGACAGCCTACTCTACGGCAATTTACACACAGAAACAAACTCGGCCAAAATATTC